TGTGAAGCATTACCTCAGTCTCAAACATTTCAGATCATCTCGTGTAACATAGCAGAGAACATCCATTAATGTATAGTCTTCAGCCAAGAACTACAAAAAGAAGTTTAAATGAACATTTTGTTAGAAACATAATCTAACTTTTTAAGTTTCATATACCATCTGCCCTTAAAAATAGAAGTTTAAGTTTAGAAGAAACCTAAAACTGGGCCAAAATGTGGTACATGTAACAGATTAATTCATATTGTTTCTAGAACTACAGTGAAACTACCTAATTTTTATACTGTATACTCTACATTGGCATACCAGGCACAACTTGAAAGGTGTCATGCTTTTACAGCTACTCAAAACTCTTGTCAACTGGCATTTCTATTGTTATCACTGATATCTCAGAGTCACAGGCTTTAATGAACATGAATTAGAGCATAATTAACACTACATTTCACCCATGAGGAAATTAAACACAACAGTTAAGACCTACCTTTTCAAAAGTGGCATCTAAATTTGATGTACTTGAATTTCAAGGAACCTTTGATCTGATCTGTAGGAGTGATAACTACGTGCAGGTTTTCCTAAGTCAGCTGAAATTCTGAGATGCTCAACACCTCTAAAATTATATAATTTGCTGCAGAGCAGACCGATCTACTTCAGGAGATTTCACTTCAACACACTTAGCTAAGGGTGAACATGTACCCTGTATTCAGGGTATAATCAGCAGCTGCTGCAATGTGTAAAGACACTGAAAAATGATGAACCAAAGCAATACTGTCTATTTACCAGGACATTTTATTCCCTTATTCCTAATCAGATATAGGAATTATTAACAATACTATATTTTTTTATGAAGGCCGTCATATTCATGGCTTTTTCCTATCCTCTGAAAACAAATGCATCTCTCAAAATGTGCTAAAGTAATTAAAAAGGTTTGGTATCTTTTTGCATCAAGTCACAAAACAGTACCGCAACTGTGTCAGGGAGCGAACGGAATCATTGCTACCTTGTTTATCGTGGCCTCATCAGCTCCTTGAACGCTCAACCAGTTTATGAGATCAGGGTCTTCGGTCCCTGTGCCAGTGGAATGACGATGACAGACAGACAATCCAGGAATATCTAGAACAAGCATTTTTGAGAAAAGGTTTTGAGTTGCCAAAGCAACCTCTTGTCATTTTTGACTGCTGAAGCACTTTCTTCAGTGAGCTTTCCCTTCAAGCTCAGAATACCAGTACCCCCATAAATAAAGATAAATGTCAATTCCCAAAGCACACACTTAATTGCAGTTTACAGACAGTTATACACCAATTACTCTACTTGGTTAGGGGTACAGTTAAAGTAGTGTGAACATTGATACAGATACATTTTCTGTCCTCCTCGGAAAATGACTTTACTAGTTCAAGGCACATCAATGTCACTGTAACTTTCTGCACTAACGTTGTTGCATCAATTTAACTAAACTGTACAGCGTAACTCATACAATTGGTGCATAGGCAATGCCTTAGACTGAGGATCAGCTGCTTTTGGAAAGCAACATTTCTTTCAAGCACGTTACACGGAAACATCAAACTGCATTAGCACTTCCACCTTCTTCAGGGCAGATACATATCAAACTCAGCTTGCCTCAGTAAGCTTTAAGTTGCATTTACATCTCACCGATTAGATCCTCTTGAACTTTCAGTGTAACAATTGGAACAGTCCGTAATTCAAAGAACACATACTTAAACATACTAGATTATCCTCTTTAGAAATAATATTTATTCTGTAGGATATGAGCCTTGCATGCTTCCATATAATCACAATCAAAAATATTTAAATCATACTGTTCCTTGTACTGTGACTAACAAATTCAGTAATTCGTTTCCACAATGTACATTCTTACTTCAGAGCAAACCCTACCAGAAGCAGCATAATAAAGCATCTTTGCTGAGACTGGCTCAATAAAAAGAACAGGAGTTTAGCTGCCACTGTCTTCATCTGTAGCCAGTATGAAACTTTTCCTTGAAAACTCTTCTCGCTTACCTATTGGCTGTGACCTAAGCCGTAGGTTTCTGATCTCTTGATCTTTTTCTTCTATAGCTTGATGTAAGAGGACTTGAAATTCTCTCTCCTTTTGAACCAACTCCTCCAATAACCTGTGAAGTAACGGGAAGGAAGCACATGTTTTCTTAAGTAGTTTCAAATTTTCAGGAAAGCTAAGATCTTACAACACTTAAACTGGAAAACTCTTGACACAGACAAGGACAGACTTCTTCAGCTTTCATACGAATATCCACTCACTATAGACTTATTATGACCTATATCAAGACGTAAACATTCACTGGTTCCTAAAGCTATAGCTCTTTAAAAAAAAAAACAACCAAAAAAACCCCCCAAAAAGCCCCAAACACACCAGCCTCCATATACACGTCCACCCACTAAACAGGTGGTATGGTACCATAAAATTTCAGTGAAATTTCTACAGCCAGCATTCTGTTTTAAACAAAACTGTGTAACTGAGAAGAACAACTACCAAAGTGTTTCATAAACCAAGGGCTAAACTTTGTGATGTAATCCTTTGTAAGGAAAAATGCCCGTTCACGTTTCTCCAACAGACGTTTGCAAGGGTATGGCAAGGGTGGAACTGTGATGAAAATGTGGTGAAAACACGGTTGCATTTCTTAAATGGGGAAAATGCATTCTCATCCACACAAGGGCTGTCCCTTCCTCACATACTAGGCAACTTTGTGCCTACCCTCCTATGCTATACGAAGAGTGAGAAAAGAGGAGGCAAAATACCTTGTGTCCTCTCCTAAGCAATTACTTTTGAGAATGTCAAGCAGAAACAAATTGGAACCCATGTTTGACTTCCTTCATACCACAAACCCAGAGAGAAACCCAGAGAGATTCAGTGGTCAGCACCTTTCAAACTGATCAAAGGAAAATAATCAGAATACAATGGAAAATTAGTATGTGAAACTGCTGCAATTTGTTATTTTAGAAAAGCGTTTTAGTAAAAAGGAGGACTTGTGAACAATACGTATTCAGGAACTTGGTCAGAGAAATTGTACATGAAGAACACACTCATAAACCTACCACTGCCTTCTGAGTCTTACGAAGTTCTGCCTTGAAAGAATCACAGCACTTTCACCCCTTCCTTGAAGCCTTTGTCAGCCTGAGAACTACGCAATAACTGTTCCATTTTCATATGATTTTGTTTCCTTTTTTTTTTAATTTATTTATACCAGTTGAGCACTGCAGCTTTTTTTCTGGGACACTGAAAGATAGGGACATTCCGGAATTCAGCTAGAAAATGTGCCACAAAAGCACCTTACTGTCTTTGCACGGAAGTAGACTGCATCTCATATGATTGCTTTGTAAAAACATCTAGCCCTACTTTTAGCTTGCATGCAGGCCTACCAGCAGCATAGTTGCATTTCAGTGCTTCCACACCTGAGCTAACAATTCTTAACAAGTCCACCCTGCGTGTGAACAGAGCTGTTTTGTGCCTCTACGCACACCCATAGCTTGGTTAATCTTGGTGCAGATTGATATTCTGTCCAGACAGGTGTGCAGCCACCTTTCAGTTAATTTATTCCTTCTCTATCTATTCTGGTTGAAAAAGGCCTTCAGGGCCAATAAAATTATCAACTATTTTCTCTTGATAACTGCTTGCTGCTTATGCCAATAAAGCTTTAATTAATAAACAACTGTCCATATTATTTACCTCAAAATTTCTGCATGAATGACAGGAGGTGATTATTTAGCCAAAGGCTTTGCATTTGAGAAATTTACAAAATCAAAGGGCTAGAAAACAGTACCTCTACAAATTGATCACTTCTGATGCTACTCCTCATCATAAACTTGGGAAGTAAAGTAAGCCAATCTAAATTATTTATGTATTTATTTAACTGTATCAATAAGGCAATAAAAATATTTCTCAGTGGTCATCACAAGCAAAAAAATGAATTGTAACATAAAGAACTAAAAAATACTGATACTTTATTAAAAACAGTACAGTCTAATGAATTACTCTAATTATGGCAAAATTCTTGGACATGTTTAAGTGCAATTTAACATTTTAATTTAAATTGGAACAGTAACTACAAAGAATGTTCTAACAGCATAACAACAGTCTTATTGAAGATGTTCTCTTTCTATCAAGGTCATATTTTACTGAGGTTAGTAAGAAATCCAATGTCATAAGTCAGATGCTGCAAAAGCTAGAATATCTACTTTAAACAGACTATCTGGTACCTTTTAATGAAAAGAAAACAAAATCATATAGAAAATTGTTTGGATAAAGTAATGGAGACAGAGATTTGTTTCTGACATTTCTTAAACAAACAAAAACCCAAAAGAACCACTTCTCAGGTTTAAAGTGGAATATGTGTATTTCTGGAAAAAAAAAACAACCCAATATCCAAATTTCTGGCTTATTTCTTCTTTTAAACAACACACCTATTTTTCCCATCTTTCTCTGATGAACAAAATTTATTTAATAAAAAGGTAATGCTTGCTGGTAAGCACAGATCCTGCTGCAGTGAATTCTGTGCACAAAACAAATCTGAAGCAGTTTCCTTGTGGAGTTCATGTGTGGCTGTCGACTAGCTTGAGTTCATTCTCCAAGAATAACTATAGAAAAGAACAGCAAGTTCTGCCTTAATGGAAACAAAACATAACACCATTTATCAGCCATACACAACATACAAAGGAGAGAAAAAGCAGAAGCTTGGCAGCAAGCTCGATTTTTTCACACCTTCCTTGAAAGGGCACCTGAAATCAAGACTGTCCTTAACTTGCATCACTATTGTTCTGAAATGAGTAAAACTAATAGATCAGTCACAGCTAAACAATGACCACCATTTAAACAAACAACTTGCAGTACTATGGAATTTTGATACTGTCACTAGTATTCCAGCACATATATTTTAAAAGCAAAACAATACATGCTGTCACAAGTAGGCTGGTGTCTCCTGGTGTCCAGACTTACCTGTTTGTCTCCAATTTTAGCCTGCCCAGCTGGACACTCAGTGATCTGTGAGCAGCCTGGGAGTCATGGGATACTGTAGAGCTGAGTGTGCTTACACCTGAGGTAGCTACTGCATCTTCCATGACAATGCAAGGCTGTTGGATAGTTTGATTCTGAGGCTGTTCATCTTGATCTTCTTCAGCTTCTATATCATCTTGATCTGCTGTATCACTTTCAGATGCAAGACTAAAATGTGGCCTCAATTCTATTAGTAACATTAAAATATAGGCAAAAGAAAAATTATTAAAGATGTTAAACATTAAAACAAAAGCAGACCTAAGTGACTATTTACAGATCATCCTACAGCTTTGGTTAAACCAGACCTGAAATTTCTGTAGCAAGAGAACAGATTATATTTTCTAAGGGTTTAAGACCACTCAGACCATAACAGCATCTTAGTTTATGCTTATTATTATTTAGCCTATCAAATGTTCAAAAGCTCTAAAAAAACAAAACAAAAAACCTGGATGAATAGGATTCCAGATTTGGCTAGCATTTCATGTCAAATTGTGCTGAAGTACTATGTGCAGAAGTACTTTCTTTTGCTTTATTCCATTTGCAGTGGTTTTTAATTTCTTATGTGTCTGACCTGAAATGTTTTATTAAACAAATAACCATTATTTCTCTTATATCCAGCTATTCTTGGTTTTGCTATTCTGGCATATTTAGCATTCTCTCATTATAAGAATACCATATTTACCAAAAAACTGTACCCAAAGAGAGGAAATAACAAACTGACCCCTTTCCCGACAATCAAAAGTGGCACACTTCCCTTCTACTTACCAGAGGGAACACTGCCTATTTTGTAATGATGTACATCCACAAAAAGGCAGACACAAAGCTATACGTGTACTCTGGTTTCTGTTATTCCCTGTTTAAACTACCTACCAGAGCTTACCAGGTATGCAAGGATATGTATGCAAGATCTTACACTCCTACAAAACCTATTATTGCAACAACATCTGTTTGTTAATTCTAACCATTTAATATAAATCTTCCTTCCTTCCTTCCTTCAATTGTGGCTTTTTACTGCTGAGCACTCGCTTTAGTCTCCTCACCAAAACATACTTTTTTTCTGAATCACACTTGTTTTTTGTAGGTTTTTGTCCTTTCCGCTGAAGAACTAACAAGTACATTTCTCTTCTTTATAAAAGGGACAGTCGTTCCTTCATCCATTTCGTCTCTTCATTTCAATGCTACATACCTTTTTCAAGGTTGAACATACTCAGATCAACAGAGCTGTGCTTCCTCTAAATTCAAGAAAGTAGACTTATTATATAGCAGTTACCCAACTATTGCTAGGCAAATACGTCTGAATTTGCTTTGAACTTCTGTATCACGCTAGTAAGAACAGAAGTTCATTTTGCCGTTGTTCACTACCAGGCAGTATACCTATACAATATCTGCTTCGTACCACTCCTAAAACATCCCATAACTTTTAGAAGTGTTAAGGCCAGAGATAAATCTTCACATTATTCATAGGAAAAAAAAAAAAAGAAAGAAAAGAAAAAAAGTCAGACAAAGGCAAGGAGAAGCAATCAGAAGTATGGCAAGGCAATTAGGGAGGGGCAGGTGATCGGTTCCTGAAAGCTACTAGGGCACAGAGGCTTTTGTTTAAGCTTGACCATGTACAATTAATACTGATACTGGAAAAGGAGTCTATTAAGGAGGAATTCTACAGTACTCCTATTATACAGCAGTAAAGTACATGCCTGTTAAAAGTGTTCGGCATTCTAATCAAAAGACAGATTTTCCTTATGACTTGAAAGTAACACAGAAACCCTATTTATGCCTTGCTGGTTGTGCTGGGGATATGGAAAATACCAAGGAGAACAGGAAGAGCTGTAACTTTCGTTGGAATTTTCAGATCCCCTTGTTGATAATTTCAGACTTAACCCACTGCAGAAAACAGGTACATAAGTATTCTGACTTCAGACTTAAAGCATTAAATTGTATGATTTGAAAGTTTCACCATTAATTCCAATGTAGGGAATGATGGAATCACAAGCTTAGAAGTTAAGAAGCAGCAGAGAAACTAACTCTGGAAATAGATAGAGTAATAACAGAACGGGCTACAGTTTCTTATACACAGACTCCTTCCCTCAGCTAAGTCACACATTCTACTTCCACAACATTCAAAATACAATATTCAAACTGCAGGCACTGCAGCTTTTTTTGTTTGTTTGTTTTTGGGTTTTTTTTTGTTTGCTTTAGACAGCTTCTGACCAGGAGCCAGAGAGACTTTTGAGTGCTCCAAAAAGCACATTGTTAATCTGCACTTTGTAAAACACCTTCCAAAATTGGCATCCTGGCAAGCTGTCTGTCCTTTGGATTTCAAGAGGCAGCATCGTGCACCTCAAAAAAATTGGGCCCCAGAGCACCTTAGCCTACTACAGCTCACTGTGTTGCAGAATTGTTTAGATGATGCATCTTGGAAAGGTACTTTCCAAAGTAACTTAGACAATACACTGATTAGTTTTTGAGTTGCAAAACAGACAGTGAACAGGAAAAAGGCCACCGCTAGTTTCAAAATCTTAAGTGAAGCATCATAATCACAGCTCTAAAGCACGTTTAAAGAGATCAGCCAATAAATATTTGCCGAGTATTAAGAAATGACTCACCTGGGACCAGAATAGTAATAGCAGTCTGCACAGCTTTTCTGATTATGCTATCCAATGCAAACATCCAATGTGGCTTGATGTTATGATTTCGGAGAACTTTATTGACCTAGCAACAGAGAAGTCAGTTCAGATATTATATCCCCCCCAAATTTGAAACTGTAATATATGTCAGCATTATATAAAGTGTTTGAACTTACAGATGCTGTATCAAAGCAGGTGATTAAAACTATTTCATGTTGTCATTAAATGAAGGAAACAGCAACATTGCCAACTTCCACCATTTTATTACAAGTTATGCAGTATTTTGTATTTTTTAATCAAGTACTAGTTCTTGTGTTGTGATTTTTGATGACTGCAATACTGAAGTTTATTGAACCTTCATGGGTGTGGAGGGAAACTTAAAAAGAATGTGAGCAAGAAAAATACCAAGGACTATATTATGAAAGACTTGTAACTTAAGCTAATTAATCTTGGGGTTTTTTTGGCATCATTTTCACTGCTTGCTCTGAGCAATACTTAACTAATTTAAAGTACAATGGTAGGAAATATCAAAGAACTAATGTAATGGTGCTCCTTCTTGGTTCAGAAAATAGTTAATTAACATTAGTTTAAACAGTCAGGGGACTTCATTTGTATGCTGTGCCATTTTCTCTTTCCTTCTACTTTTTACTTCGTACAATGAGACAGTTTTCTACACTGGGTTGCTCCTAATTCCCTACAGGCCTGCTTTCAAACCGCTTTTAGCCATATTCCCAGGTGCCCCATGGATGCTCCATGCCACTTGCAAGAATGTCTCTACCTTGGGGGAATTGTTTTCCAACTCCCAAATGACAGAGAAGCAGCAGGTGGGGTGATAGTGCTACAATGAAATGCCTAACCACAGTAAGCGGCAATAGTGCAAAACAGGCATGGTGCTGTTTTCCAGGCACAGAAGCAGTCCAAAGCAACAGGCTCTGTAGGAGTAGAACTCAAGAAGTTGCAGGAAGATACAAACGTAACTGTATTTAGAAAATTATGAAGGTACTCAAAGCCTTATAAAAAAAAGTAGCAACTACAGCTTACTAAAAAACGTGGTAAGGAGATAGTTCACTCAGGTCTTCCTAAAAAAGAGAGTAGTTTAATTCTCTCACATTGTGATAACCTCTCTGTAAAAAATGACTGAAGTTACACAAATTATGCCTTCAGAAGGTATTTAAGAGTTAATAAATGTTATTAATCATATTATTATCACTGCCCCAAAGCAACAGTACTCAGCAATGCAGTAATTTATGTAGGTACCTGTACTGGGTTTGGCTGGGATGGAGTTAATTTTCTTCACAGCAGCCCATATGGTGCTATGTTTCAGACTAGTGACTAAAAGAGCCTTGATAACACACTCATGTTTTACCTATTGCTGAGCAAAGCTTACACATTGTCAAGGCCTTCTCTGTTTCTTACACTGCCCCACCAGCGAGTAGGCTGGGGTGCACTAAAGGCTGGACGGGGACACAGCCAGGACAGCGGACTTGAACTGACTGAAGAGATATTCCCTTCCGTATAATATCATGCTTAGCAATAAAAATAGAGGGGTAGTTTTTCCAAAGGAGCCATTGCTCAGGGACTGGCTGGGCATGAGTCCACTGGTGGTGAGTGACTGCTTTTGCATCACTTGTGGGGTTTGGTTGTTTGTTCCCCCCCCCCCTTCACTTATTAAACTATCTTTATTTTGACCCACAAGTTTTCTCCCTTTTTGCCCTTCTGATTCCCTCCCCCATCCTGCTGGGAGGGAGTGAACAAGCGACTGGGTAGGGGCTTTCCTGTACCTGCCAGCCAGGGTCAACCCACCACAGTACCTAGATCTCCTCAGTTCTGTTGCCAACGGCCACAAGATGGCACTTGGACACTGTGCTTGGACTTGGAGAGCTGTCAGCAGCGCCAGGGGAGCCTGCCCTGTGCCTGACACCTGGCAGCAGCTGCCTAAGGGCCCCAAAGGCTTGCCCATGGCCTTCCGAGGCAGCACAACTCCTGTTTGCAAGCACTTTGCACCTTCCCGTACTGACACCTACCAAGACATTGACATATGTTTAGCTAAGTGCAGCCTATTTAGTTACTGAAGAAGCATGATGTAACTTGTGTCAAGAACACAACAATCCACAGTAATATGATTTAGCTATTTAGATTACAGCACAAAACTGCTTTTTCTTGGTTGCTCCAGTGAGGATATTGTGATTATTAAACCTTGTTACCTGAGATAACATTATTAAGTCCTGAGAACAAGGGAACTACTTTCCCTCACTTTTAGCAATATCCCAGTCTCTGCAGTATGTGAGGCCTTGATACTGATCTGGATTTCAGTGTTCTACTATAGAAATCTAATGTATGTCCAAAAAATTAAGACTGGGCGCTTATAAAGCAAAGTTTTTCTTTGAACTTTCTGTGGGTTATCCCAGTTAAATAATAGATAGATAGTAATGAGAGAGACATTTATCAGTTAAAAACCAGCAACTTGTAATGATGAAGCTAACAGAAGAGGGTAAAATTTTTATTGAAAAGAACATGACTCAGGCAATTACCACCAACCAACTGATGCCCAGCAACATCTCCATCAGAAAACTAACCCAAATATTTGTTCTTTTCCCCGCTCAATTTTTTTCTTGACCTTGTATGTTGTTTTTTTTTTTTTTTCTTCCAAGTGTCAAAACATTAAAAGTATGAGGGTAAGTAGAGAGCTGAAGTGTACTCAAAGTGAAGACTCAAAGAGAAAACTTTGATTTGTGGAAACCTCTCTTTTACAGATTCATTTCACACATTAGGGTGGGGTGGTTTTTTTTTGTAAACAGCATCTAATTCTTGTCAGTGTAGTCTATGCAACAAAAGGTTTACATGCTATGCAATCCTTCCTGACAGCTCTCTTACTTGTCAGAGTGCCCCAGGTTTAAATGTTAATAGAATCATCCACCTCAAATGCCTACTTGGAATGTCATTTCATTTTTACTACATGACTTCAGTCTGGACAAGTGATGCCCAGCACAGCTGCACCCTCCCATGTTGGTTATTCAGCTTAATCATTAAGCCTAATTGCTTGTGAACTAACATTTAAATACATAGCTTAAGAAGAAAAAACATTTGCTTTTGGTAAACTAGCTATTTAAAAGGTATCCATGTGTGTGTTTGATTGCTCACTATAGGAAATCATATATTTTGCATTAATTATTGACAGAAAAGTAACCTATTTTTCTTCCTTCTTATTCTGCTTATTATAAATTGAAATGAAAGTGTCTAGTTTGGCAGAAATCTGATGCTAACCAAAAATACTAGAATAAAAACTCAATACGATATTATAAGGTAGACAGACTACTATTGGGGTACAGAGTGGTTTAAATGTACTAGTTTATAAGAGAGGTCAAGTTCAAGAGATCTGCATTTATGTAGGATAAGCCTGACATACAGCGTTGGTCTTATTTAGCAGAAAACCCTCCAAAATGAGGTGTTTTTTTTTAAAAAAAGGCTTTACTGCTTTAGTATTATGACATAACGTTTACACAACTATGCTGAACCTTCTAGATCTTTAATCAGCAAAATTTCAACAGTTGTGTTCAGAGTCTGTGTCCTGCCAAAGGATCACACGGCAACCCAACCAAGTCACGGCTGTAGGCTGGGTTTTTTTTATTACAGGTTCAAAGCCCTCAAATATTATTGTTTCAGTAACTCTGGATGGAAGCTAATGAAGTTCTGTTTGCTTCTGGCTTCTAGCTTTTTTTTTTTTGCAGTTTTGGCACACAAAGTTCTTAGTAAAAATGACAACTTACAGCATCCTGAAAACCAAACAGCACGAGCTGCACTTGACTGATACCATGGCTGTCAAAGTCTAACTCCAGTTTCAGTTTTGAAAGAGTGGTTGCGATGATTTTACGATCAGTGGACCGTACAAACTCTCTGAGGCTGGAAACGAGCGTTGTGATATGTTCCCATTTTAGCTTGGGTTCTTCAGCTCCCTGGTAGAAGAGAGAGAGGAAAAGGAATAGCTTTGATAGACATCTTTTGAAACATACACCCAGAGGGACTTTAGCCAATAACATCAGTTGGCAATACGGATTTTCAGAAACTCTACTGCTACAGTTAAGGGAAAGGTGCAGCTGCAGGTCAGATAATGGTAGCAGCATAACTACAGCAGCACAGAGTTCTACTGCTGAGCTCCCTGCTAATGCAGATTACTGGACAAGCAAGTGGCTGGTTTTGTTTTTTATCAGTTGCTTGAAGTATATGTGCACACTATAGTCTGTATGTCTCACTGTACAGGAGTGAAAAGATATGAATAAATATGATGTGCACTGAATACTACAAATTACTCCTAGTTGCAAACAAACATGTACTTTGCAGTGCCTCTAATTTCAGAGTGCCTCTGAGAGACAACATGCGAACTCCCACAGTAGTATTTAAAAGAAGTGATTAGTCAAAGTTACATAGAAGGCTCAGAAAAAGACTAGTTCTTTCCTACATAATTTCCCTTGATATGGAACTTTTACACTTACCTATCCTTAGAGCAGGTCTACAAGTCTGTACCTTTCTATTATAAATATTCATATGCCTATTTTTAAAAGCTTTTGTGTCTTTGCATGAGCTACCAAAGTAGCAAAAAGCTCAAAAGCATTCATCAGAATAACCACCATAAGTAACTAGGAAGTAGAGAACTGTACTTACTCTCTAAAGTAAAGTTATGTCAACTGAATACAAATTTCAGTTCCAAATCTTAATTAAGCCAGAGATAGAAAACCATACTAGTTTTTCAACACGAAGTATTAGATGCTTGTTCTGAAGGAAGTGATTATTTATATAGACTAAAGATATCTAACATTGATTTCCATAACAGAAGGACATACGGTGTTTGGTTCTGTTGTATTTGCCAGTTTTATGCCATGAATGTTACAGCTGGCCAGACATCAAGAACTCTGTTTGCCAATAACACTGAGGTTTTAACTATAGTTAATTAATTTTGATCTCAGAGAGAGAGAGAGAGAGAGAGACTTTTAAAAAAAAAAAGCTCTAGAGCAGTCAAACATTCCACTGACTAAAGTACCCATCTCTGAGATAAAAGACACTAGCCTCTGATCCTGATCCGCTTTGGTTTGGATGATTGGCTATACTGAAGTGGATCCCTCACTCTGTCCTGCAGTAGCTGATCTCCTTTTTGTGTAAACAATTAAAAAGCCATTAGGGCAGATAGGTGGACACACAACGCCCTGCAGCCCTGGATGAGAAGATCCAAGTCCATCCCCAGGCATGCTGGGGACAGGTCAACCAGTATGGCTTCCTAATAAGGAACAGTGACCTATTTTGGGAGGGTCACTCTCCTCCCCCTAGCTGCACACCCAATGACTTTGTTGAAATTGTTCTTATGAAAACCTTTTTGTGAAGGGAAAAGCGCTGTCAAAGCCTAAATCCTGATGAGGCCTAACAAACGAGTCAGGCTTGCATCTATTGGTAACTTGCATTTAAGCAGGACATAACAAGAAGCCAACTCAACTTCCCCTTAACTGCAGTTACTACCACTTTCTGGTGGTTTGAGTAAGTTTCCTACTCTTTGACCACGGTCCCTCTCTCAAGGGAGAAAACGGTGTTTGGGAGTCAAAGTTCTGCATCCTCTTGAAGGGCAGATAGTCCCATGCACGTATGCTTTGAACTCTTTGGCTCTACAACTCCGTGTCTCTGCTCCTATCTTGGGCTGTTCCAGCCCCAGGCTGAGGAAGGCATGAAACACCAAGCACCCTCTCTGGATCTTGTGATTGAGTTTCAGCCTCTCACAATCACTGATTATTCCTTTCATATACATGCTAACAACTGAATCTGTTATAGCAACACTCTAGCAAAGCACAGATCACAGGCATTTCTCTCACTGCCTTCTATTTTAACACTTTCTATAGTTACCAGGACAACTGTGGGTTCCTCCCTCACCCACCAAGAGTTAGCAGCTCTTTTTATTGGTATGGCAGCAATTTCCAATTACATTAACTGTAGTACATGCATAAGAATCATATTGACTTGCATCAGTTTCTAAACAGTACACAAGTTCTAAACAGAAGATGAGTTGTCACATTCTATACAAATATGGTTTAGACCAGCAATACTTAACCTTGAGAATGAAGTGAGTCAATTAACTAACACACACATTACAAACAAGAACAAAAAATCATGTCATCCAATTACGGTGTTGCAACATTGAGCAGTGTGGTCAAGACCTGTAATTCATTCAGTGTCATCCTGAACTAATACATCATCATGAATCAACCCCACAAAGGAATGCCAAAAGGTCATTCTGCAATTATTTTGTTGTTTGCTGTAGCTCCCACTGTTACTCCATCTTCCCTTCCCTCCATATGTGCTCCCAACTGCTGTGAAGAACAGCTGCAATTTATTTTCTCCCTAGTCCCCTCTTTCCCCTTTTATGGCTGTTGGCTAGAAGGCAATAGTGTACCAGTCAGTCCCATTTTTTCTACGCAATAACCTAACATAAGGCCAGAGCAGGCCAAAAGACCTAAACCTCCCTCCATCAAACCAGTCAGTCAGAAGACAGAACTCTAAAAGGGTGGCAAAGTAATCATCTCCTAGGGATGATCTATCTTACATGAGTTGACCTGACAGCCTCAGTTAGTCCCATTTGAAAATCACTGGCAAAATATAGTATCATGAAAACATGTTTTTCTGTTGTCTGGCCAGCACTAGTATCCAGGTATACATATGCCTTTTCTGTTGTTTCTAAATATTATATGTCATGCAGCATAAACAATTTTAAAGCCTATTTTTAATAGCCCAAATAAAACAATAAACTGTGAAAGCTTACATGGTGTATGCTTTTTAGTTTAATCAAACTTTATTTTTTAATTGCTTTACTATGTGTCATTTCAAAAGTTCCAGGTAATTGCAGGTAAGTCTTCAAATTGCATAAAATTTCTGCTGCCTTCTGAAATTACTTTACCTGAGCCAAAGCTTCCATCAAGTTCCTCACCACCTTCTCTTGGTCCTCAGTTAATATTCTGTGAAGGGTGGCTCTCCTTTCGCTATCCTTCTTCAGCATGAAAAACCCAGAATCTTTCTCTTCAGGTGACGGAGGTGCACTGTGATCCTCAAAATTTTCATCTGGGATGCTGAATGAAAGGCACTCAGTGAAAAGAAACTTTATAAAAACCACCCCAATGCACACATTCCTAATCTACTGTGTAACATAAATGCCAGATAGCTCTTTACCTCAGAAAAAGGGACCGGATTCCCTTCCCATCTTTTTCTCCACAGGATTTGGCTCTTGTTTTGAAAGAGAATGGATCAATTTTTAATTCTGTATCAGGTGAGACAGAACCATATTCACTGCTGCTACTTGTATCTTCCACCAGAACAGGGACAGGTAAGGATATACTCCGAAGATACTCTATTCGTATAGGAATATTCAGAAATTAGAGTGTAATAGTGCCATCACAGTTCTGAAGTGAAAATGTTATTCTTTCAGAGGAAACAAAGACAGACTCCAGTCTTCCCACACACCAATAGAAAGTATTAAAACAAAATTGACAAAAAACTCCTAAAGCTTATTCTTCTGGAATAGAGTTATCTTGCAGTTATGTTTTTATTCAAAAGCCTCCTGAGATACGGAAATGCTGGGCTTTTTGCAAGTTCACTTACAGAACTTCACCACTGGAGTGAACGTGCATCTCGTATCACGAGTACATGCTTTCAGCAGTAGCAAAATGTTTCTACAGGGTAAGTCATCCAAGCACCTTCCAAGATCTTAATTTTATGTGTGTGTATAAATATATATATTTATATATACAATATATAAGTATATATACTATAACACATAAGATACATTTCTTTATCAGATTGTTTTGTACAAGTTTAATTAGTTCATAGTCTTTGATTAATAATAAACATGCATGTTAAGTCAGAACTTTTATTTTTTAAATCCAGAGCACACATTGCTGCTGCAAGAAACTATTCATACCTATTTCACACGTCCACATTTCAAAATGTACTTTGATAGCAACTCAGCATGAAGGTAACTATGTGTAGTTAGTGGTCCCTCCCCACCCCCAGTTCATTTCCTGAAAGAGATGACTATCCTGTACCTAGGCCTGACAAGGGGTCTCAAATGCGCTCCGCTTTTTTCAATTATAGAATTTAGCCTAATAAAAATCTATGTTATCTTTCTCTACAAACCTTGGCTCTATTGCTACTATAAAACAGCCATTTGGTTTCCTGTTCAGGTTTCCACTAAATGGCCCTAAAACAACAATGCAGCTCTTCAAACCTGTATTACCCACATGCCTAGACAATTAAGCCATAGTCTGGTAGGATTACAAATAGTAGTTTAAATTTGCACAATGAATTAGAGGTTTCTAACAGAGAAAGGTCACTTATTTTCATAATTGTGTCCACTTCTCTTTGCAGCATTTTAGTGTGACAAATCATACCAGAATAAGTGATAACCATAGTATCTACACAGTTATGTTTTGATAGAGAAGTATGTTAAAACTCACCATTTGTGCTAGCTGAAAGCACTGTGGGAGAAAAGCAAAGAAAAAAGAAAGTTAAATGTGCTGAAATTAACTGAGAAAATAAGCATAGTCTAAAGGATAACTCTCTCCCCATTTTTATGGGTTATCTGGACTCCTGCCTGCAATCTCTAGAAGTGTAATTTACTGCAATTTAAAGTTAATTTTAACCTGGGGGGTGGAAACTACGTTAGAAGTGCTCATCCAATGTCATCTCCTTTACCTGGTATTTTTATTTCTTTTAGGTATCATGCTAAAAATATACAGAGGATATTTTCAGATGTATGTATGCACACACATAGAACATGTCATTCATACTCTCAAAACTCCTTTGTTACTTTCCATAATTTAGAACACTACAGGAAATGAGTATGTGAAACAAAAATAATGCAGTGCATGCACATTTGCTATGGTAAAAAGATTATTTTGCTCATGTAGAAAAGCCCGCTGAGGCGCAATAGCATGTTCTAACGTTGCACAAAATGTACTCCATGCAAACATTCTTTGAGTGAAAATACATGCAAATAAAAAAACCCAAACCACAAACACAAAAGCTGCACAAAACCATAAAGAGACTTTTAGAAACCTTATATTAGAAATATTTTTATAATTCACCTCTGTGACAACATGGTAACAGAATTCTGCTACAACAGTGTTTCTGCAGCAAGCTGCTAGAACAGAAGGTTACAACTGAATGTTCACCTGGGATGGAGATCTGCTGTGTTCATCTTAAAGACAGCAGTTTCAGGAAACAGTATCATCGACAAGAGAAAAATTCCAGATTGAGGTTAGCAACACTTACCTGAGAGCTTTGATGGGGACTTCCTTTTTTTGCTTGAAACCTTCAAGAATTCATCTATAAGTAGCTCATGAGCAAAAGCTCGTTTATCAGGATCTGGTTCAAAGCAACGCAATATGAAAGCCTTGGCTTCTGCAGACATGGATTCAGGAATCTCTGGGTGTATTTTAAACATTCCCACCTGAGACAAATAAAGGGAGAAACAATGGTCTACACTGTTCTTTTCCCAAACACTAAGTAGCATTAAAAAAGCGTTTAGATAATAAAAGCGGTATATTGTTCTCAAGTTTTGAATTTATCTTTCTGTAAACTAGTTTATTAATTCAGAGAGAAAAAAAACTATTACAAACTTTATAAAGAATGACATTAAAAACCCCACAATTGCAAGTAGAGGCTCTCGCAAAGCAGAAAACTGCTGCTTTTCTCAGGTTTTTTGGGGGGGTTGGTTTTGTTTTTTTTTTTTTAAAACCCAGGCTGCTGAATAGCTGCTATTGCTCCATTACCCTCCTCAAAACTACACAGCACTCCCACTCAAGTTGAATCAGCTCATTCTTCGTAACATCCTCACTAACCAAGCATTTCCTTTATCTTTTCCTGCAATCTCTAATTCTAGGTTCTCCAAAACAGTCATAAGATTTCCTGTGTTTACAAATACTGATCTGAGTTGTACAAGGAAGATGTCTGACCTTAAACATAGCTGCTTGTGGTTCTCCCAGTTCATAAAATGGGGGCTTCCCTGTAGCCATCTCAATGATTGTGCATCCCAAAGACCAGATGTCTGCAGCCTTCCCATAGCCACGTGGTCCTTTGTCTATGATTTCTGGTGCCATATACTGAAGGGTACCTGTTTAAAACATACTCATTTTTTTATTTAGGTGCACTAATGATGCAAATAGATAGCTAAAGGATAAGAGGAAAAAAAATCACTGGGGAGTAAGCAATATTGGGACAGTTAAGAAAAATACTCTTTTATTACTCAAAATTCAAAAATTTCCATATGCATTCTACATAAATCTCAAAATACTATTAAAAAATATTACTTGTGCTAAAAGCATCTGATATCATCTACTGATCTGATGATACCGCTTTTCAAAGTCAATGACAATTATTAAGAGGTTTCAATGAGCTTTGGATCAGACATAATTTTCATTTACGGTATTATAGATTAAGATTAAAGTAAGGAAGATCACTCTGAATTGCAACCAGAGAGGAAAAGGAAGTGAAACCTGAAATCTGAACCTAAAACAGCAGGTGATGTGAACACTGTTTCTGAAGGAAGGGAATCTACCCGATACATCATTCTGCATTCTGTTCCGTTTAGAGCAGACATGGAAGAGCAGAGGATGGAATTATAACAACAGTGACTTCTCATTTTGTATAATTATTTAATGCAGTGCAACTGCATGATTTAACATCCAAATCAAATTATCAAGCAGAACGAGGATCAAGTTAACGGCAGGCTTTGTAGGGTAAGCAATTCTGGAGATGAAGCCAGGATGTCTAAGCCAGTCATGAAAGAAAAAAAAAAGTTAGCCTTCAATCAGCAAGATGAAAAAGCCACGCACACAGAAGAGACAGACTCAAATACAACATAGGAAAGACACAGCTCTTCTGTGGTAGAGGACTTTCCTGTCTCAAGTGGAACTCCGAAACAGCATTCTCTTTGAACAGTGCATACAAGTACAGCATATAGCTTAAGATTAGGTATACAAAAAATTATTCTTGCAGCGACCTTTTATATTGATTCAAAGTCGATGAAAGTTCAGCAGCTGTGCATTCTGACCCGACATGCACAGTTTGAGGGAGGAAAGAGTCTCCCCTCTGGGAACATACCAGTGAAAGTTTCAGTACATGGGTTGATTCCTGCAAGTCTCTTTGAAGTTCCAAAGTCCGAAATCTTTAACACTCCACTATATGTGTTGATAAGCACGTTATCACCCTGAGGAACAGAACATTCAGAGCAATTATTTTTCTCTGCTGACTCTTCATCTAAGACTTCTTGCATAGCTGTTTCTACAACGCACTCTTTAGTAACAATTACTTCCTAAGGCTCTTAAGAGGGGAGATGAAAGAGGAATCAATAGTGTTCCTGCTTTATGTAATCCCATTATCAGAAACTTCATCTCAAAGTGAACTTCCCCTACTACAGGAATTCAGTTAAAGAATACTAAGAGAGGGGAAAAAGGCTTGCCTTTTTTTTTTTTTTTGGAAGGGAACTTTTTCATCTGCAATCTCCTTGGAAAAGAACCTGCTAATATCCCATCCACAATCTTCTTCTAATAAGCTTTTCTGAAAGTTCGATCATGTCATTGAAAACAGAAATAAAAATATCCACTTTATCACATCCTAAGTGGCTATATGTCAATTCTGCTAAAACAAAAAAAAACCCCCAAACATATTTTGTTGGTGCAAATTCAAATCAACAATGGTTCACTTACCTAACCGACAGTTCAGAATAGCAGAGAGGGTATGTGACAATGAAGAACTTTTGGGAAAAAAGTTTTTAAATTACAGGATAAATAAATGGTTATGCAGTTACGTAACACTCTCAGACTTAATTCTCTGCAAATTCTTACCTTTATGTCTCGATGCACTATTTGATTATCGTGGAGGTATTTCAATCCTTCAAGAATCTGCTTGGTGTAAAAGCCAATTGTCTGCTCATTATTTTTTAATGGTCCCCATTTTGATCGTAGAAGAGCAGAAAGGCTGCCTATAATTTTGGAGAGCAAAAAAGTGAGAGTACACATCTAATTAAATTCTGCCTTCTCCCCCAAAGGGAAAAAAAAAAGTAACAACAAACATCAATCCCAAACTAAGTGTAGGCACCTCTTTCATAACCAAAGGCCTCTCCAGACGAATGCTCACTTGCATCATCACCAGCCTGAGTAATTAAAAAGAGAGTCTCAGTATCTCCACTGGCCCAAGCTGCAGCAGAGAAGCATTGCTTCCTCAAGCAGGAAGATCAGAACCCATTTAATCAATGTGCTCACCTCTCTCCTATGCCTGGAGAGAAGTCGCCCCAGAGGAATGTTATAAGAAAGTGAAAAAGGGTGGATGTGCATATGCATGTCTTTGTACATACACCAACTCCACAGTTTCTCGAAAAGCTAAGCTCAAGAAGTGGGATTTTTGTTGTGTCTGGCTGTTGTGAGTTCTTTGCTCTCAAACAGAAGCAACAATCGCCTTTCTCTTGTGTTAGGTACCTGAGGAGGGCTCAGCCGTCTAAGACTAGCTACAGTCTTTCTAGTAGGATGACCACAGATCATCTCTGATCGGCAGGTAAAAGGAGCTCGCCTGCCACAGCAGTGATCTGAGCTGTATCTGTAGCACATCCTATCTAAATACTGAATGAGAGGACTCAAGCACTTTGGAGACAGAGCTTTCCCCATTAATTTAGGAAAGAGATGTTAGAGAATATTGCATTTGCATGAAATACATCTTGTTGCAGTACTACAGGTTTTTATACTTTTAAAATGTTAAAAAACAAACCAACCAACCACCAAACCAGTCTCCCCCACAACTTACCACCTGGCACCTGTTCCATGAATATCTTAATGAAGCCATTCTCACTAAGAGAACCTAAATACTGGACAATGTTCTTATGTTTGAGATGCTTATGCAAAGCTATTTCTTCATGCAGAGGTTGGGAGTACCTGGAAAAAAAAACCAGTTTATTCAATATTGACCTTCGGGAAGAAAGCCTTGCGTTTACTGTAGTAGCTGAAGTTCTATTTTAGGTCCCATGAAACACGTTTACGCTGAAAATCACTATGTGTTAGATGCATTTAACAACAGTGGTTGTGACCACCGCATACTAAAAAATTATGTAATTCTATATAAATACACATAACAAAAAATATATAATATTGTGTATACATACACACACAAAATGTTTTAAGTACACATAGATAGACTGAGCAAAACAAAATTTGTGGAAAATGAACTCCTCTCCAGCCTAACTCGAAGAGAATAAACAGTTGGGCAAGCGGTTGGATTCAGACTAGTGCCAAAGTGAACTAGTAAACCATAAAGTTAGTGTACAATTAAAATCACCTCAATAATGAAAAAAAATCGCCATTTAAATTTTAACTAATTAAAGCAGGAGTCTTATCTGAAAGCAAGAGTGGATAGCTATCAGAGTAAGAAAACAGGAATCATTTCATGGGGAGATATTTAGAAGAACTGATCAAGACAATTTCATCAAGTGTAATTTAGCCCAAGGTAAAATGTTTTTGAGAGATGTAAGCTTTGCAGCAGTCTTTTTGCCAAGAAGGTTTCTGGAGTCCAGATCCTTCTCCGGTGTGGAACACCACCAGAGCTCAGCAGCTGATGTGCTCCCTGGGGCAGCCCTAATGCTCTTCTTCCAACCATGGGTGAGTTGGAAGCAGGTCAGCTGCCAGATTCTGAATCTGGTGGCTATTTTCACTAAAGCACTAACATCTGCGGTCAGACTTTCAGGGTAGCTGAAATAGATGAAGGACACAGACCTCCTTCTGTCAGTCCAGATGCAAGAAGGAGCTGCAGAGTCTTAAGCAAATGGAAGACGTATTCAGACGCTTATACTGAGGGAGTACTAAACATAACTGCAAACTCAACCTTGCAGCTACTTGCCACCAAAAGGAATAGTTTTTCTTCCACCTCACCTTCAGCAGGTTGCCCTCAGCATAGACTTCGCACCAACACTGGAACATTCTCATCCCCTAATGAACTGGCAGAAAACTTTTATTTTATTTATTTACTGGGAGGAGGGGTAGCTTCCTGCTGCCTCAAGTCCAGGAGTTAGATCTCCCTGGAGCCAGCGGAGCGCCAGTGCCAGGAATGCAATCAAAGCACGAATGCAGCTGAAGTTGTTAGGGGAAGAGCGCCTGTGAGCTCCACTCCCTTTTGGGGCAGGTAGTTATCAGCTCACCCTAACAGCAGCATCAAGCTACAAGTGGAGGCTGAACTCTTAAAAAAGTGGAGGGAAAAGAAGAAAAGAAAAAAAAAAAAAAAGAGTGGGCATCTGAAAATCCCTCTGGAAAACAACTGTTGCAGAAAACAAGGGAAGCATTTGGTTAATGAAAAGTGTGATTGTGCAACTCTGAGTCTATTTACTCAAAACTAATTTGAGTTTTGGCTTGCCTCTCCACGCATGACTATAAAGATTCTGACTACACTGTTAGTCATTCAGAAATGCATTATCAGAGATTATATTCCTGAGTTCTATTAATGGGATATTCATTCAGAGCAGCAACAGCAAGACCATTATAATTCTTCCCCTGCACTTTTAAACTGCACAGTTAATTGAGTCTTGAGCAACTAAAATAATTTAGCAAGTAAAATAAAGCCATAAGAAAATTCTGCAGTGGGCTGAAACATTTATTATTTTAGAACTTAGTCATTAGGAGACTTTAAATGGTACAAAGAAAGAAAACTTCTAAATCCTAAAAAGCTAGACCTTATTATCTACCTAATATGATTTTACTTTAACTTGGAAAGTTGATATGGCTACTGGTACTATTTTGTAGTACTGGAAATGCATTTGAGGGCAACAGCATTGCAGGAATGTTTCCTTTTCTTTCAGAATGTGTCTTCATAGTCTAACATTTCCTGTTCCTTCCATAGTCTAACAATTCCACAAGTAAATTATTCAATAGCTTATATTTAACATATAGCAGTATTGAAGACTCACTGCTTTTTGTACAGAAATCATTGCATTTCTGGCCATGCTCTGACTCAGAACTTAATTATTTCTTACAAATCCAAAAAGATGGTCATTTTTACTTTGAAAATGGCAAGAATTAACTTCAGAGATTAATCCTTTTCTTTCTATAGATTTCTTCCAAAGTGCTAAAAGATCAGGTTATAATTAATTAGAAATGAATTAATAAATTTTTCTTCCTTCGCCATTAAAAGAATAATACTTGAAATTTGTCCCGGAAGCCTGTAAATATTTTTGAAAGTCTAGATAAAAGACTAGCAGCTTCTTAATAATCTCTTTTCCAGTATGCTTTGCACATTGAACCTGAAACCTTTTCCATTGAAAATTCTTTTAAAATGTGTATTGGAGAAGAGAAATCTGGATCCCCCCCCCTTTAAAGTAGTTACTGCTCTATTCAGGCTTTCTATTAACCATAGTTGTCACAAACAACAAATTTCTTCTTAGCACATACAAAACTTGCAACTCTATTTTGAGTCACGAGATTGTTTTATGTAATGAGGCCATACTTTCTGAGAAATTGTAACACACCTTGAAGTTAAATTTACAATAACAATATAGAGGATGGAAGGATTCCCCTTTCCATAGTCTAAAATACTATGAGTATGGAAAAATTATTAGACCACACACATACCCATACTGAACAGCCGATATATACATGGATTCAAAAAGATTTGAAAAGTCGAAGAAAAGAACAACTAAGTGAGGACAGAATAACCGAAGGAAGGCCCACAAGAGAGACCCATGAAAAAGAAACTGAGCTAGGACACCAGGTGGCGATACTGCCCTTCCAGTCTGTACATTGCACAAAGAAAACTTTATGAGTTATCACACTGTGTCCTCTCAACACCTAGGCTCCAATACAATTTAAATAACAGTACTTGATGCTGAATAGGTTGTAAAGAATAATGCTCCTTTTCCACAAATGGTGGTTTTACCCCCAGGGACATACATTCTAGATAAAAGTGAGAAGAATAACAGCCACTGCGGTGGGTTAGAATAGCCTCTTGTATTTACTGTTTTGAATACCAGCACTCTTCTTAAGACGATTGCTACGTAGGGACAGGTAAAACCAGCTTCCTTCCTGATATTAGTTGTAGACTGAACACTGCACAAACAAGGATACAGTTATTTCCTCCTATAGAGGAAATGCA